ACTACACGAAATCCAAATATTTCGGAAGTTCGTTCTTTGCAGTTGATTATAATATTTACAGCTGCCTTTCTGTATTCGATTCGACAGAACAAAAACAAAAAGTTGTGAATGTTTTTTAATGATTTTTCTAGAAACTAAAACCTATACTGTCGTAGGTGGTGCGGAAGGATGAGTCCGCGGCGGGTGTAGTTTGGTATTCCATTCACGAACATTTTTGTAGAAAAACCCGCTGAGGAAGGTCTGCGTTTGAGCAAAAGGAACCTCGACTTGAGCTTGATGTAGAGTGTTACGATTCGATTGCCTGTTTGGGTTATGTCTGATAATGGCTACTCTCGAGAGAGGAGAATCCTTTAAAAATTTTAAAGGATTCTCAATTGACGTGAAATACAGATGGGCGTCCATAACCTATATGCACTGAAGATTTGAAAAGTGCTTCTTTTGGTTCTGGTCCCGGTCATGTTCCAAAGATTGACCCACTCTGGTATTTCGAGAGCGGTATTGATCCCGCTGATCTCGCGTTATGATATTTTCTTCTTTCCCTCGCGAAATATGCACACCAGGAGCCATTGCATGAAAGAAACAACAAGTCTTCTGAGGATCTTAGGGGTTAATATCGTTTGACGCCATTCGCGAGCTTGTGGACTATCCGAATCCGGTCTCAAAAGTTTGGAGTCTTATAAGGATCTCTGGAAAACACTTGGAGGTTTCTAGAAACCCCTTAAGTTTACCAAAAAAGTTTTTAAATTACACAATTGGAAAGAGCACAAAATTCTGAACAAAATGAGATATTGCTCATAGTTTTAGCAATTACTTTAAAAAGGTGAGAAAATAACACATGTTCAAGCAAAAATGGTTTACTATGAAAGTCTAATTTTTAGGTTGTCGAATTTATGGCCTGGAAAACTGAAAAACTATCAGTGATATCTCATTTTGTTCAGAATTTTGTGCTCTTTCCAATTATGTAATTTAAAAACTTTTTTGGTAAACTTAAGGGGTTTCTAGAAACCTCCAAGTGTTTTCCAGAGATCCTTATAAGGCTCCAAACTTTTGAGACTGGATTCGGATAGTCCACACTTGAATGTCTATTAAAAAGTGAATCTCATTTTATACTTAAGCCACACGCTTGAGAACGGTGTCAAACAGTATTAACCCCTAAGATCCTCAGAAGATCTTCGGTGTCGGGCTGAAGGTCCGAGATAAAAACGATTTGGTCGCATTATCGGATAGACCGTGCAATAGACTACATAGAATAAAAAAATTCCTCTTGCATCACTTGTCTTGGCAGAGAAACAGAATCTTTATTTTTACTCTCCATTTTTTAGACGCTGAATTTTCCATCGAGCGGACTCTAGAAAACCGTTCAGAACTCAGAAAGTAAAAGTCCTAGAAGGCTCAAAATTTGGATTTATAGGTTTTCACACATGCTGAACAAGACAGACTAGTTAGGAGGAGATCGGAGACATCGATTGAATATGACTTGCTGTTTCTCTCATGCAGTGGCTCCTAGGAGCAGGATTATGTTGGGAATTCGAAACAAGAAAAAAGTTTGCTCTTTTTTTGTAATAACAGCTTTCGGATGTGGTGTGGGTCTCGACCTCAACCTCGGCCCGACTTATATCCCAAAGTTCGTTTCAATTCCGAAAACGAGACTGGCCCCACTGATCTCTAGTCGGCATTTTCCTCATTTGTGAATATGTCCGATTTCTTGGCTTCAGAATACAGTCAAGTTTGACTCACTCCAGACCTTTGTTATAACGCTTACGTAATCAGGGGAGACCTGTAGAATTATGGGTGGATGGATCGGAATCAAACATAAGTTTGTGTACAAAATTAGACGTCACTGTATAATTATTAAAATGTTTTTGAATATAGAAAAATAATAAATTAATCAACGATTGTTGTTGTAATATGTTTGAAGGTAGTGTGATGGATGCATGATCTGGTAAAATATAATTTATTTCATTCATATTGCTCCATGTAATTGAAATACACTTTACAATAATAGGTAATAAGATTTTCAATATTTCAAATGCACAAATTGTATTATTATAACTTCTATTTCATTAGATATATCTTCTGTTTTTGATAATGCTTTAGTTTTGTGTAATGATAGTAGCCACTTTACAATATTGAATAGAAGTGTTTCATCACTCCGTAAATATGTTTTATAATAAAAATAGTCTCGGCCATTTTAAACATTTTGAAAATGAGCCATATTGTTCAGTGAACCTCATAGAATATGTCTTGAAAGTTTCATCGCTACGAAATGAAGGTTTTCAGAGAAAATGCAGTATCACGACGCCCTGTGGAACTTAAAACCCAAAAATGTCGGTGCTTTTCCGAACCCCTCGGTAATGTTTTGAAACTTTTTAATGGCGGTACATTTTGAAATTTGCGAACTTGATTTTTGCAGTTCGTCTGCAAAGATTAAGTACGTGTGTTCGATTCTAGCTTCGTGCAAGGATTGATTTCTGTTTTGAGAGTTTAAGTTTCAGAATGATATAATGGAAATTTATATTCTCGATTTCGTTCTGGTTCAAGATTAAAGCTTAAACCAAATATCTAAAATCTAGAGGGGATATACTCAGCTTTTATTTTAACATGAAACATTCTGAAACATTTATGTTTCAGACTTGTCGTGAAGGGTAATGAATAATGTGTAGTGGAGAGGAAAACAGCCGTCATTGTATTCTTGAAAATTAATAGATGAGCCAAGGGTCACTACTCCAGAATAGATTTTCACAAATGCGCTCATACCTCGCAGAAATCACCTTCTTAAAAACGCGTAATAATGACTGGTTATAAATTTATTCAGTTTACGCTGTTTAAAATCACATAAGAAAATAAAAAAATAATAAAAAAAAAGTAGAAATTAGAGTAAAAGAAAAAAAAACTTAATGCATTACTCGTGATCCAATAGAAATCATTGTTCTCTACCAGAGATCTGACACAGGCACCTATAACAGAGGAAACATTTATAGGTGATAGGAGAGCCTTCGAAAATATTTTCTATACTATAAGCGAAGTTTTAGACAAAAAAATTTATTCCTCAAATAGCCTGAGTCTATATTGTTGAACTGCAAAATGATAAAGCTAAAACCGATATTTTGTATAGACTTACATCTTTCAACGGATCCCGTATTAATTGATCGTGTAATATTAATGCTCGCTTAACCAGAATACACAAATCTTCTTTTCTCCATTTCTCAACATCACTATCAGTTAACTCACCGGGTACAGTTATTCGACTACCATGTAAATGTTTTGAAACTTCAGATGCAAAATTGAACAAATATCTAACCAGATGTGGATGAATTATAAACGGCTGATTCTTGTTACCACAAGTGATATTGTGATTCTTGAGCATTTCAACTAGTTTGCCAAACATTTTAGGTTGTATGCTACGATGAAATGTCTGAATTAACCAGTCAAATTTAGTTTTTAGATCAGTTTCAAGAACTAATCTAATATGAGACAGTGCCGCTCTCTTTTTTTCCGATAAATTCTCCGGATTCTTGGCATACTCACGTAGCCGATCGAGCACTCGCTCATAACCAACACGCACTTCCCTATTCCTAAAATATAAATTTCGAAAGCAGTTACAATTATGAAATTATTCGTTTCCTGATTAGCATTATTCACCGTAATATTGAATTATCTGTATCGATATTTCTGTATATTTCCAAGCGTGAAAATTGCACAGGTGCATACGGAATAATCGGTTGGACTGAGCTAATTAATTCATCTAGAAGATCTGCATCGTGTGATAGAACAATAAGTTGTTTCACTTTTCTATTTACATTTCTCAATAAATCTTTCATTACAGCGAGTGTAATGAACTTTTTCTCTGAATCGAACGATGTGACTGGATCATCCATTACAACAATTTTATTCGAATAGTTGTTTCCTATTTCTAGATCAGCCAAGAAAAATGACAGTGCAAGTGCTCGTCTGTCACCTTCATTTAAATGTTCCAGTTGTGTCATTGGTGTACCATTATCCGTAACTCCAAAACTGACTCTTAGATAATCTCTGATCAAATTATCATACTCTGGTTCCGTCAATCGAAGACTCCAAAACGGTTCGCTTGTCAAGTCTATGCGGTTAATACGCAGAATTGAATTAAAATCATGCAAAAAATTGTTAATGGCTATCTGGTACGCGGGAAGCAGGTAGTGGATTTGCTGACGACTGTCATTTAATATATCTAAGAAATGAAAAAAAATGAGTTTGACGCTAGCGGTGTGGTTAGTTGATACTTAGAAGTAAAGGAGATCCAGCTGTGCGAACTAAAACTAGACGGAATTTAGCACCGTGCTCCTACGTAATCTTTCACTATCTTCAAGCATTTAAAACCAGTCTCTGTCGGAGAATAGTCGTTGCGCTAAGTGCCGTATGATCATCAGTCATACTGATGGACGAAAGTTTTGCAATTTTGTACTTAGGCTTCTCCTTTACATACAGATTAAAAGAAAACTACAGACCAACGATACGTTGATGATTGGTTTTGTAACGGTCCAAAGATGTTTCGCCAATGGTTCTCCAATTTGAAGCATTAATGCGACTAGGAGGAGGATATACCTGTGGATCACGACCTGCAAAGGCATGTCTAAATGCTGTTTGCTCGACTTCGTCAGTTTTAACGTAAATTTCGTGTTGTTTTTCCACTAACTGCTTCAGCGCGTCATTAGATTGTTCACACAGTGGATTCCACATTTCTCTTTTTCCTGAATTTCCTGAAAGATGCTTTGTAATTTCTTTAATAAATTCACGGTCAAATAAAACAATATTTGAATAGGATTTATCCCAGCCAGTAGGTAATTGAACGAGAGTAGATGCTTCATATGTATACCAATTTTTATCTTCATCAATGATGTGAGCATACATTCCATCAGTTGTTTCAGACAATAAAGATTTCCGTTTCTCTAAAGCAATTTGATTATTATCTTTCAGTGAACGAAAAACTAACGTCAACGTTGATTTGCCAGCACCATTCTTTCCATGAATTGTCGTCAATTGGTCAAAAATAATTTCACCCTCTATATCTTTGTGCTGCTGGAACAAACCAATATTTTTAAGTTCTCTTATGTTGCGCAGCATTATATGTCAGACTGAAAAAGAAACTCACGAGGGAAGGTCTCCAAGTGATAAATCGCTATCGAGCTGAAACTAAGTGACTCATAGGTAATCGACTACACGAAATCCAAATATGACAATGGTTTGAGCGGGTAGGTCTCGAGATACCGGTTTCTGGAAAACCAGGTTCCAGAACCCAAAACCTACTCTTGTCGAAATTTGTTTTTGATTTGTCCAGATGAAAGAGCGTATCAAAAAACCTAGAAAGCGATTTTGGAACTTTCTTTCACAAATGAAAACCAGCCAAAATGAAATGTGTCTGCTCCTAGCAGGTGAAAGAGAACGGTATTACGTTTTATTCTTTAGAAAAAGGCTTCAAAAAACGTTCCAAAATAGTTTTGCTATGTTTTCTGATAGGCTCTTTCATCTGGACAGGTCAAAAACAAATTTCGGCTTCAATGGGTTATAGGCTTTGAAACCTGGTTTTTCAGAAATCGGTCTCTGGAGACCTAGCAGGTCCAAACCATTGTCATATTCGGATTCAGCATAGTCGATTACCTATGAATCACTAAGTTTCAACTCGAAACCGATTTATCAGTTGGTGACACTCCCTCATTATTAGAACGTATAATTATTGTGAGCTCGCATGCTAACTTAAGTTACCAATCTTCAGATTTTCTTCACAAGCGCAGTTGTTAACTTCGTCTGTTGATAAAAAAATGAGCAAAATTTCGCTCTATATATAACTAATGAAGGTTGGGTTTATTCCACAGCACACACACACACAACTCTGTTACTATTTGTGACGATGAATGGTGAAATCACTGTGTCATTATTATTGCAGAGTTCTTTATTTATTTTTCGTAAACAACCGCGAGACATATGATGAACAGAAGGAATAAAAAAAAAATCATTAAAAAACATTCACAACTTTTTGTTTTTGTTCTGTCGAATCGAATACAGAAAGGCAGCTGTAAATATTATAATCAACTGCAAAGAACGAACTTCCGAAATATTTGGATTTCGTGTAGTCGATTACCTATGAATCACTTGGTTTCAGCTCGATAGCGAATTATCACTTGGAGACCTTCCCTCGGAGAACATGACCAAACTACACCCGCCGCGGACTCATCCTTTCGCACCACCTACGACAGTATAGCTTTTAGTTTCTAGTAGAGGATAGATAGAGGATTTAACGGGCTACAACATGATATATAACATATTCAGAACAATTGGGCCTGAGGGTCCTAATACTAGAAATACTACTCATCATTTTTGAATATGCAGCAGACTGTAATACACAAAGACAGTCCATGTACACATACAAGACAGAACCGAATAAATTTCACTTTTGCACAAAAGTGCAAAAGTACACTTTGACCAAATCCTCTATCGAATGGTATACAGTAGTTGAGATCTGCTTTTGGGTGCGAAATTTCTACCAAGGGGGCGAAAATGGTTTATTTAAGGTGCTAGTTTTAATCACGGAGAAAAACTACATCAGACCTGTGAGTATGAGATTGATTTGACAGGGGGCCGATTTTGTCTCTTATCGACCTCCGTCCTTTTATGTGGTAGGACCAGATGTTCAGAAATTGTTCTTTATCGTAAAAAAGCAGTATAGATCGTTTTTCACCACGAAGATCGATCTGTAAAAGGTTGAGCCCAGCAGATAAAACTGAGAAAATTAAATTTGCTCTATTTTTGCCTCAAAACTCAAGTTTGGAAAACGCTTCCTTCGTGGTGCCACAGTGGGCATCCAGGCGGAAATTAGGGGAAAAATCGAAGTTGCTCCTAATTCAAATACAAATAGTGGAAAATGTAGCCCTTTCAAAGGGCTATCGAATGGTATATAAGTATCTATAGCCATATTCGGAATCAGCGTCAAAAACTGCATCGAATGGTATATAAACTCATCTGGTTTCGGTCGCTCGATTTTGAATTCTAGAAAGTTCTTAGTTTTTGAGAAAATTTAGTTTGTGTGAATCTCAAAAACTAAGGAATTTCTAGAATTCAAAATCGAGCGACCGAAACCAGATGAGTTTATATACCATTCGATGCAGTTTTTGACGCTGATTCTGAATATGGCATTAATTGCACGAAAAAGTGCTTTAGTGAGAGAGAAAACTGCGAAATACGCGAAAACCCTTTGAAATTTTGGAAAATCCATAAAACCTCCTTGGATTATGTTGCGCAGCATTATTTGTCAGACTGAAAAAGAAACTCACGAGGGAAGGTCTCCAAGTGATAAATCGCTATCGAGCTGAAACTAAGTGACTCATAGGTAATCGACTACACGAAATCCAAATATGACAATGGTTTGAGCGGGTA